GTCGGGGTCGAAAGGGGATGACTCGTCGCACAGGGCTGTCAAACCCCCACCCACGCAACGACAAAACTCCCGTTGAAGGGTGATCCAGCAATGGCGGCGGGACTTGTTGTATTTCGCTTTCGAGGTGAGCTCCATTCCCTACCTTCTCGATCCCCGTGGCAACCCCTCCGTAGCCGGCCAGGCTGGGAGGGCGCTCCGCTAAAATGAAACTGAGTGGGTCGGAGTGAGGAACCAGCGCCGAGACTCGAACACTCTCGAACGAAACGAGACGGAGGAGTCGAAAGTAGCGATGTGCGACGAGGAGAGACCGAGGAGGGTGGCTGGAAACGAGGAAGATCGAACAGCGGCGGAACAGAGAGGAAACGAGACTCTATATCGCTCGGAAACAGCAACCTCCATTTATTTTATTACATTATCATACCAACTAGGCGCTCGATAAGTGGGGCTTTAAAGCGATGGTTCTCAAATCGTTTCGCATGGAACTTTTACACCGTGAACTTCGTCGCGAAAAGCGACCTCGTAAGTCAATCTTCGCTCCTCGTCGCGTCGCTGCAAAAAAGGCTGCAGCGAAAGTTAATGAATGTTAAGAAAAATTAATCAATGAGTTTAAACATTTGAGTGTATTTTCTGGTGAGGAATTCATTCGGAATTCCCTTGCTACTTTGGGATAAGTAAATCCGTGGTAATAGATGTTTCATAAGATTATTAGGGTTAAATAAGATTTGGAATAGATCGAAATTTCACAATTTCTTCTTTTATATTAAAATAAGACTTCTCTTATCAAGACACATAGACTGATAGATTAAAATTGAATTGAAATTTCATAATTTTTCGTTTCATATTACAATATGATTTCTCTTACCAAGACACATATAAATTACATATTAAATTATCTATATCTTAATCGTATTTAATATCATACATATTAATATCTACGTAAATATGGATACATTTCGAATCGTAAAAGTTAAATGTTTCTACTAAATCTTAACAAAATCGAGCCATAGTAAAGATAGGTAGTGGAGGCCACAAATACATTTGATTTTTACGAAATTCGAAGGATGCATTCGCTTCGATTGCTAGGAAAAAAGGATTCGACGTATTTGCTTCACGCTGGCGCGTTCAACTCGAACGCGTCTGACGAACAAATCAGAACGAATTGTTCAGCCGTTAAGTTGGATTAAAAGCAAAGTCAGCGACGTACCTGTTTCTCTTTGGCCCGTTGTCATTTAATGACCATCGATTATCGTCGCGAATTTAAACGAAGCACGCGCATAATTACGCCGTAGCATTTGTCGGATTCGTTGCCCGCTGTGAACACGCGAACGATTTAATTGAAAACAAGCATTCGACCAGCGATTATTTTCCACCATCTCTTTTGTTTGACAAACGCCAAACAAATAATTATAATTCATTGTATAGTGCCAAATATATTCGAGAGTCCTAATTATAATTCATTCGTACGTTTTGGTAAAATTTTCTTTAATTGGCAACTTCATCCCATAATTTGCATGCAAATATTTCTAGAATTTTTTAACATTGATAAGGTATGTTGTAGAAATAAGTTTTTAGATTTAAATGTAGATGTTTAGCTGAAATATTTTATTATAATCAATGCTATTGAATGTGTTTCTCTAGGCGTGCGATTTGTACTAAAAATAAGTTAAATTGTGTATTATATATTATATATTATATTTAAAATTTCATTTAGAGTTGATAGTTGAGTTTACAATTAGTAAGTATATATATGAATGATATAAAAATGTTGAAATTTTAAAAATGTAGAAAGTGATACCCCATTCGCTCAGTTCATGTTCCACGATAAGGACAGTCTATTACGATTTCCAGAGGAACGTGGAAAAATCCCCGCGAATTTTTTACCCGGTCCAGCTTGAACTCTAGAATTTGCTAGGCTGGCTGACGTTTAAGAAATTTGACTTTCTTCTCACGTACATCAGAGGATTACCCAAGTATTCGCCTTCGACCGGTACGGTTCATTCGAGATATCCACAAATAACAGACGATTCATCCCTTCGATCTCCTTGTTTTTCCCTTCTTTAATCTCGCCTTTTTCAGCTTCGCTCAAACTCACCACAGAACATGGAGTTGCTTCTTCCCTTTTTACAATATCGTTAAAAAAAGATCTCGATCGAATCATTTGAAGGTTTAAAAAATACCAAGGTTAAATGTCATATCATTTATAGAATTTACGTAAAACTTTTCCAGGTACTTGACATCATTTCGTAATACATATTCAATTCTTTAGATACATTTTTTCTAATTTTCAAATATACTCTAAAGTTATTTACATTGATTTTCTTTTTATACCGAAGTAATAAGATTAATTGTATTGAAATAATAAGATCTTATTGCAAACAGTGCTAACAATTATCACAAAATTATTACTTAATTTTGTTAGACTTTTTAAGCATTTGCAATCAATCGTTATTAATATGCGTTATTTATCGTTTCAATTTAACGATACAATTTTTTCAAATATAAAAGGTTATTTTTCTTACTGAAACAAAGCTTCGATTCGATCACAAAAATTCGAAAATCATGATAAGATGCAATACTATACTTCGTTCTTTTATTTATATCATTTATAGTAAAATATGTGGATGTGGTAAGTGTATATGAAAACAAGAAATAATTTTTTAATCGTTGAAGTTGCACAATGTTCGAATAATTAGTTACGAAGCAATGTGTTATTTATTCGACGATTGATCGAGGTAAAATGTAGGAAAGATGTTTCTAAGTGAATGCTCCTGGGAAATGAAGCTGCATCGGTCAGAAGAGACTGTCGGACCACCTTTACCCCCTTGTCCTCTCTTATTCCACTCCCTCATCCTCCCTCTCCCGTAAAATCAATAGGTGCGTCGGCGTCCAGCACGCTGGGAATTCTGCTATATAACCCCGAGCGATTAACTAAAATCGATCAAACGCGACGCATGTCGAATATAATGAAATAAATTGCACAATTCTGTTGAATCAGAAGAAATGATGATCTCTGACCAGATTTACAAACCCGAGCCTACAGTTTTATTCAAATTACTTTTAATGTAAACTATTTTTTCAACCCACGATTTTAAAGTTGGAAATTAACTTCAATGTTTCGATACGATATGGTGATTTAATAAAAGAATATAACACACCCGCTTGCTGCAAAAATGATACAACTCGAAACATATTACAACTTATTATACTTTAACAAAGTCCGGTAAGTTCCTTTAAATTGTATACGGTGGAATGACAAGATGCCATTTAATATTTTTTTATGAATATTATCCCGATTTTCAAATAAAATTAATTAATGACATAATATATTCTTATATTTAATGAAAGTTTTTTGCAATTTCTGAAATATCAATATTTCCATTTAATTGTCTTTGTACTTTCGCAGCAAAGAATTCATTCACGTTTCAATATTCAATTCATTATTCAATACATTCAAGGTGTAAATATATGTTCTGTATTATTATTTGTAGAAGATTGAGGTGCACAGGAAGGCAAAGTTTCGAATGAATCATGACTTCATTTAGACGTCTTTTGCAAGAAATTTATTTTAGGGGGAGGAAGACACGGTCTGACAACTATTTATCCAATTACTGCCACTTCCAGTCGACTAATATTTGCCTGGCGCGTGTCGACAGTTCGTCAACCGTGAAGCTTGAACGGCGCTCTACGACCACCGAACAGTCCTTTGTCTCTTTTGCGAATTAATTTCAAGGACGAGGACCTGTGTGCTCCGCGAGGGTTCTTACTTCGCGTCGAGCAAACCCAATTTGCGCTTAAACAAGGAGCATCTTCGCATAACTTAGCCTTGCGTGAAATCCAACGTCAAAGGGAGGAAACTTCTCTTTTTAAGGCAGCTCGACCTCGTAGGATTTAGACGGTGAACTTCAAAGACATGCCGGATTGAAGGAAAGAATGCGAAAGCTTTCCGGTTATATTAGAAAAGATACTTTCAACGCAGATACGAATAATTTTTTAATTTTATGAATTTGTTTTTTAATCAGAATTTATGGTTTATGATTGTTATTTGCATCTGTCGTGTGTAAGTTTGAAAATGATCGCGAAGTGCTAACGAAATGAACTATATTGAATGTAAATGTCTATTAATAGCACTAAAATACAACATGCGTATGTTATTAAGAGACACATTTTACTATAATAAAAATAATTTTATATGATTCGATATTTAATTTGTATTTGAAGTACGATAGAGATGTAATAAAAAGTTTAAAACAATCTTTCAGGACTGAGTGCTGCGCCTTATTATTAATAATAGTTAATAGTTTATTATTATTAATATTAATAATAGTACATATTAAATAACTCTGTTCGCAATAAAAACTGTCGCGTGTTTCATTATGCTTTGGTAAAAGTTTCATGTTAAGATGTTTACTGAGTTAATTATTTTCATTCAGTTGAATAAAGATGTATCTTTATATTTATATAAAATTTATAAATTCCATAAATTATTCTTAGGTTAACAACTCTTAATAATTTAGGCATTCTGAGAAACTCCTATACCGACAGTAGATTCTGTAGGCTGGTACCATCATTGGATTAAAAAGGTTGCTATTTTATCACGGACAAAGAAAATACATATAGTTATTAATTGTTAATCGATACTTGAAAACTAATATTTTCGGATATTATTCGTCAAAAACTATCACATAATTATAAAAAATTATTTAAAATAGTCACAAATTCAGCATGTTCTAAAACAAACATTCTAAAATTAAAAAACAATAATAACTATATAAAGCAATAAAAAAATAATCTAATATTTCGAGTTTTTTAAGAATTTAATAGTTCTCAAACATATAAATACAATTTTTATGTAATATATTAAGTAACTGTAATATTCTCAATATTTTCGAGGACATCATGTAGTTCATTTTGCATTTCGAAGATAGCTCCGAATTCTTCGGCTTTAAATTTTTTGAAGATACACACTACACGTAATACTAGACTACTATAAAAAATTCGCATCATATACGCGAAAATGAATGATTCGGTTGACCCACAAAAATTCTTGGAAACGAAATATTGGATCAGCTTCTTGTTATTACCGACTTTAAGTGATTCTCATTCGATTCTTTATAAAAAGAAAATTTACAGTTCTTTTGAAAATAAAACTACATATATACAATATTAAAGTGATAATTGTTCGTGTAAATATTGTGATATTTTATTTAATATGAAATTTATGCACTAAAGAATGTATAATGTATAAAGGATAACTGATTTAAAGAAAAATCGAATCGTATACAGTGAGAACCATTACCTGTATCTGTTCCTTATATCTCTTAAAATATGGTGATCATATTTCATTAAAACAAGTAGTCTTGATATTTTAAAAAGTACAATTGCAATTTTGGAATAGAACAGTTGAAATCTATAAAATGGAGGATTGTTATAAATTCTCAAGGAACTCGTATTACCTCAGTGTATATTAATAATGTCAACTGTAATAACAGAATAATCTTGAAACCTGAACATTCTACTATATTTTCACTGCCTCATATTATCGTAGATCAAGCTTAAAATATGTGTTTATGTTTCATAATTATGCAATTAGGAAATCTAGGATGCCACAATTGCTGAGCCTCGAAATTTGAGCTTACACTTCTCTTGCTGTAATCATTCGATCTTAAAATTAGAAGTCAGATCGTTTTTGTCAAATTTTCAAACTGCATTTTTAATTTTTAATTTATCTGTCTATTCATGCATATTTGTAATCTACGTTCCTCTGTCTCAATTAATCAGCATATCTACCGTCGAAAAGTCCGGAGTGTAGTATTCTCGTCCATTTGTTGATTGCATAGAACTATAGGGGCGCTACATTATTACTCCACTTTTCTCGGTCAATCTTTTCCACATATACCTAGGCTCTAAATATAAAAATATCATATTAATAAAATCCTCTCACTAAAATCTTTATAGATTCCTATTTTACATCGAACCCTTTAAACATTTACGATCATTCTACAATAAAACTTCATTTATAATCAATAACTCAATGATATCACCCTATATAATCAAAAAATAACATTTAAAATATTTCTTCCAAGCAAATATTCATATAATACCTTCTAAAATAATGAAATCACATGAAAGTCCATTTTTCTTATTCAGATGGTAATTCCCACGGTATTATCCATGTATTATTATATAGAATAGTAGGACTCGGCGCCTGTAGGTGTCATCAAGAAAGCAAATGGCGTGCAAGAGCAGTGTCAAACGACATTAAGTCGTTGAATCATCTAGAAATTGAATCGATATTTTCAAGAATTTAGTTAGTAAACTTCTCGATCATACGATTTGTCACTTAGGATATAACGATCGATTATATCTTGTATCTTTTTCAACAAACGTGGCAACGGTCTCGTGTGGGTTTCCCGTGGAAATCGATAAACTTCAAGGGTCAAACGTTGTACTTGCGCGCAGGTTTCCTTGGAAGTGTGTTATTTCTCTCGTAGAGCATCCTACGCGTCAAGATGTCCACATCGATGACAGACAAGCTTCTGGATGACATGAACAGCATACCGCTGGCAGACGATGATCCACAAGGTAGGGAACTCGTGCTCATGTTTCTGACCCAATTCTCTTAATTCCAACCATCGCATCTTCGTCATAACCTGTTCTTAGGTTTTTCTTACCGTTCCATGAAATATTTAAACACTCATCTTAGACGGAATCTCGTTACTTCAGCTTTTAAATCGACGTTCTAATGACAAGAAAATTTATAAAATCGTGGTAAATTGTTAAATGTATAGTTTATTGGCTAATGCAACTAATTGATTTTCGAGTATTTACATACGTGTTGATTCTTGATAAAACGCAAGGTATTTCTGGAATTTTTAGGGCACACAATCCGTATACTGTTCATATATGAAAAATTCCATTATTTATTATATATATATATAAATTGTGAAATTGTTATCATCCACGCGATTAAGGAAATTTAATTTCTGTTAAATATGCATTATACTAGATAACAGTTACAATTATTGTTTCTATATACAGTGATAATTCCTGAAGAAGAAATTTTGGATAATAGCTGCCACATATCTGATGCACTTGGCAGTGGACACAGCATGGATTCTATACCATCTACATTTACAAATGGAAGTTGTAGTCCTAACAGTAAGTCTCAAATCGTTTACACTCTACTATTTCACAAAATATCATCAAGCACTCAAGATTATGTGACTGTAGGTTTAGATCCTGATATAAGCCCAGATGAGCAAGAAGAAAAGGCAAGATTGATTGCCCAAGTGCTTGAACTTCAGAACACGTTAGATGGTAAATAAATTTCGAATATGGTCTCTAATTCTTACATATATGTTTAATTTACTTAACACGATTTTCTAAAATATTTTTTTACTGCTCAGATTTATCCCAGAGAGTAGATAGTGTAAAGGAGGAAAACCTGAAGTTGAGAAGTGAAAATCAAGTGCTGAGCCAGTATATTGAGAATTTAATGTCAGCATCGAGTGTTTTTCAATCTACGAGCCCCAACACCAAAAAGAAGTGAATTCACGTTGTCACCTTAGATAACAAATATCGAAGAAACAGGGATCTTAAAATAATGTGATCTTTAATCCTCCATGAAGAGTATGTACACGCGTTTACACTTATAACTGCCTTATTTCACGAGAAGAAGATACAATTATTGTAGATATAAGAATTCTCGAAACAGTGTTTATTTATAGTCTGTTTAGTATATTCTGCTTATTTCATATTTACAAATTTCATTAATTCGTGTACATACTGTTTATAGAGAAACTCATTTGCGAGCAAAAATTCGCCCGTTTTTTCTTGAAGCGCATATTCGAATCGAATTTGAATTCCGAATTCACGATCCAAATCTGTAGGTCGAGGAATTCATTGTTCAATTTTTTCTTTTTTTAATCACCGCATACGCTTTTTGCTTAAAAAACGCTTACGCATTTGTTACTTACTACCAAAGAATTCCATTTTGTATTTCGTGCAATGTCGTGTGTATTTGAAGAATCTCAGTTGTCATGACCTAATATCTTATTGTAAGTATGAAAGTTTATATGAAAGATTGAAATGTGCAATTTAAATGATCGAAATCAAACAATATTCTAGACTTACAATTAAGTATCAGTTTCTTGATGTTTTCTGGTGTAAGATTCGTTTTCAGTATTAAATCGCAATCGTTAAAGTTAGTTATCGCTTTTTCGCGTATTTGATACTTATAAATAAGAATGCAAGGGTTATAAATGTTTGTAGTTACCGTATTTAATCAAACACCAACATTTTTTAATTCGAGCTTTCGCTTAAGGGTTTCGACATACGTGTATGCAATGTATGTAGATGTACAAAAGAGATAAAAAATAATTATATATATACAATTACATATAGATATAAATAAATATATATATACATATTATGTATACATATATATAGTATATATTATATACCATGATTATATATAATATATACTAATGTATAGTATAATAGTATATATATATATATTACATATGATTATATAATATATTAATATAAATTAACGTTCGTGTAAATGCTGCGAGCACAGTGTACATTTTAATCACTAATTTAACTAACTGATTGAAAACGATCGACACTTTGCCTGTAGCATGTTTGATCAACGATTATTACTGCAACTGAGAAAGAAAAAAGATAAGGAAAGAATAATAAAGAAAAAAATGTACTGCAATTTAAAACTGCAACTTAAGATGAAGTTTCAGTTGGAGGGCACAAGCAGAATGCACAATCTCAAATTATTTCATTGTTGAGTAACATAGTGTTATAATAAACATTATATTCTATTGGAAGGCAACGAGATTATTTATTTCCCATAAAAAGTGTGTAATTGATTTCTTGTCGAATGTATGATTTTCGTTGTTAGTAAAAAATTACATAAATTCGTTAAAAAGATTTTTTAAAGTTCGCCGTGATGCATCATGATTGATTTAATTTAACATTTAGTGTCTTTCTTTGTTTAGGATTCACATAATTGTTACAAATTAATTTAGTACAGAAATATAAAATATTCGTAGAAATTAATCTTGTCGTATTGCTAAGAATTGTATCGATTTTTGGCCCCAACTTGTTTTTGGTCCTGGCTTTGCTCGTCCGTTTTTCTTTATTCCTATCCACCATCCCTGATTCGCGTATTTTCGTGATCGAAAAGCATCGTAGGAACCGACGTTCCATTGCTCCCATTCTGTGTTATCTTTGTTTGCGCTTAGCTGAAATAAATTAATAGCAATTATTTGAAACGACTAGCCCCCCCATCATTATTCACGTAGATTTCAAATTATATTTATCACTTAATATAATCAAAACAAATTTACATTAATTTCAAAAATACAAATTCTACACCATAAGATACATAAAAATAATGAAACATAATAACTTTGCAACCAATTTCTAGAGATTTAATTATTTTACTCACTACACCTAGTAATAAAAATCCGCGACCTTACCTCACCATATAAACGTCCCTTCTTATTGAAAGCCAAATACAGACTAGTTTCAAGACTTTGTATTCGAATCACTCCAAATGATACCGGTATAATGTGAAGCAAAGCTAGAAATTAGTAGAAAGAAAAAATTTAAAAGAACTGCTTTCTTCATCCACACTGCAGTTTTTAATGGTTATAACAATAAAGTGAATCAATGAGGTTTTTATAGTACAGAATTCTTATTTTTATTTTTCGTTGTAGTTACCATGTGGTTCGTTCGTGGCACTCAAACCTCGAACTCGACCAGAGTTCGAAACAGCAAGATGGTATCCGGTTCGACAAAACAATTTGATTACCAAACAATTGTACACAGGATTTTGTGCTGGTTTCCTGGGATCCCATATTACGTAAGGCGGTCGTTTAACCGATTCCGTGATGTAATGCGGAGTTCTGTAAAGGAGAATACAATATTTAGAATCTCCAAACACACGCCGGCCGTCTATAAACGTAAATACCAAGTCTACAAATATACTCTTAATTTTAAATGTCAATCTTAGACAAAAAGATCCTCGAGACACTAGATAGAAATTTCTTTGAACTTTTTGGTCACCGTAATATTTTTTAATCACTGTCATTCCTTCTATCTAGATGCACTCTCTTGCGAAGTTTCCAGAAATTAACATATTCATAGTAGGTACTATAAGCTTTTTTTATTATGACATGGAGCTTTATTCGGATCTTTAACTTTTATAGTTTCTGTAAAATCTATTATTCTAATACGTATTTTAATTTTTGTATTTTGACAAAACGATACGTAAATTAATTTATTTATATTTTACAATAATGTTACGTTTACACAACTTTCACGTGCTATTTCATTAACCCGATTAATATTTATTAATATCTTCATTATGAATAAGTTTCGATATATAAATCCATTTCTTATTTTCCTAGTGAAAATAATATCGAAGAGAAAAAGATGACACTTCTTGACTATTGAAACAATAGCGACGAGAGTAGGATAAGCTGTCATACGAAACAGATTTAATGCAAAATAACACCTCGGAACGCGCTATATTTATAACATATCACTACGTTTGGAAAAATGGGCCGATCGACTTTTCAGGTCAGTAAGCTTCGTGAATGAAGTGTGCTTCGTTACACCGTAGACGTTTTCCAACCCCGTTAATTTTAAACAGATGCTCGAGGGGAAGGAACGCAATACCAATAGACTTTATTCGACAACAAGCAGTGCATTAACCGATGATAATCAAGCTAATGGTACCAATAATGAAACGTGAAAAATACAATGTGGGTCACGCAATTAGGGTAGATTATACATGTAGTGGCTAACAAAAGTATTCGAACATTTGAAGAAATATTTTACGAATATATTATACGTGTTACAAAAAAAATTTTGAAATTTTATTAGTGATGAAACACGATTATCATGAGTGCATTAGGAAACTGTAAAACGAATTTCAAAATGTGTGTGTATACAAAAGTTACAATATGTTTATTGCAAAATATAAAATTCAGCGAAATAAAAAAAAGATGTAAAATACTGTCTAATAATGAAATATAGGTCAACAATTCTAAGCGTACTGCTCCCACGATGAAATGAAATATTTTCTTCGTTTAAAATTCATCAATTTAAAAATTATTACGTCTTGACATTGCGCGAACACGCCCCCGTTAATTACACGTAGAATGTATACTATGATCTATTTGTTGAAACTCGAGCGCACACGGTCATAAACGTCGATCCTAATTTTGCGTTTCACGTCGTGCGTGTGCTTTAATGCAATTCACGCGGAATTGCAGGCTCGTCGGTTCGTCGGTTGCCACGGTGCTCGAATACCGGTAATAATATAACGTGAACCGTACCTACTCCCTGTACCTAGTGACCCTGCAACAATATAGAGCAGAAAGTAAATCGAATCAAGTGATCAATGAATACATATCGCGTATCATGTTGTACGGTGTCTGCTACAGTTCTTCATCCATATTCTAATTTCAAGGTCTACCATGTTCTCATCTTCAAACAGTGATTTCGCGTATCATTTTACGCGATTATTACGCAATTATTTTGTTATTGAATGTTATTTTAGGTACCGAGTATTTTTACCGAATCATTCAATTTAAGATCACCGCATATAAAGATCTCGATTGATCCCCTGCGTTCCAATTTTTTTCGTAAAACCTCATTAAATCCAACAGATACAAAATAATGTATTACTATACATATAATTTGCATTCATTAATCTTAACATTTTGCAGTCCATATAAATTTACTAGTAACTTCAACCTGTAGCCGGTGATTTTTGGCAGAAAGTTTCAAGTTCATAAACTTTACGTAAAGGGTCACCCAGCGTGTGACACTGACATGGTGTCACGAAAATGTTGAACTTGAAAATTTAAAACTAAAGTTAGAATTCAACTTAAATTTCTTTATAAACACAAACCTAAATACAAACCTATCTTTATCAAATGAAAATCATAATATGCGCTATATGGTTGAATTTCGCGCCATTCGTTCAATGAGAAGAATATCCTTACCATATACGTACATTCTAATACGTGTAATAGTATTTTAAATAACAGACTGTTTGTAATAAAAATACCTCGTCGTTTAATTAACTATTGAATTAATCCCCGCTTAAGGATCTATAAAGTAGAGCGTCAGAAAGATTGATAAATTTAAAGCGACTTTACGACGGTACGGAGCGGAAAATAAATCTCGTTAGGTGATCGATGAACTCATTACGGTTCCTTGTGCAACAACGTCCCCTTGACTTTTGTTTACCGTAATAATCATCCTTCCATTTGGTACAAGAACTAGACAGCTTTGTGACAATGTTCACTGACCCTCTTCTCCACGCAATAAACTGATTAATTTCACCTTCGAGATCCGAAAACGTTCCAAAACGATCGAAGGGGAAAGCCATAATATGAATAATAGGAAATTTTAAACTGTTAACTTCGCAGTACGCTAGGTGGAGAATTAATCGATTCAAGTGATTAATGAACGTTTATAGTAGGTGGACGTTAAAAGGAAATTACGTCTGTAGACTTATTGTTGCTAGTTTGCAACCCGCTCATAGAAGAATCTGTTATAAAATATACATCAACCCTTTCATTAATGTCAAAAATTCATGCATCGCTGCACAAATTGTTACGTTAATGCGGATAATCGAGCAGAAATGTACGATTCTGGTCGATCAGGTTCATTAAATCGCGAAGAAGAGAAAATTTAGAATAGCGATATTAAAGAATTTTAGAAAATTGCGTAATACAATGTAGTAACTACAAGTAATAATATTTTAAAATTTTGTTCATAAAATAGAAATAAAATTTAATATAGAAAAACAATATAGTGCAACAATTACAAACACCAATTTCTTTTTAAATCTTGTTCTTATTCTAATTTTGTTTCATGAATAAGATCATTGTAATTTGTGATCAATTATCAAATTATGTATTTGCAGAGAATTTCTAATTTCCATGTTTATACAAAACGTAATAATTTATAGGAGATTAGCTTTAATAGTAGACGATATTTTAATTAGGAATTTTCATTGAACAAAGTCAGCTAATAATTAAAGTTTACCATCGAATTGTAACTCGATTAATGTCTGTACAACGTAACGAAGATTCGATCTTATTCTCGGCTATCGACAGCTCGTAATTATCGGCAAATACCCGTTCTCGTCGAACTTCACTGTAGTGGTCGGATGTCTCCTGGTCTCCCTTTTCCTCCTGCGATCCCCATTAATCTCCTTTTCGTTTCCCAGCCCTTTCTCCTCGCAGATTGATAGATCGGAATCGTAGCTGTCGTCGCTGCAACTGTCATCGATGTCGCTGCATTCCTCATCGCATGTTGGTGCTTCTAAGTTTTCGTGAATCCAACGAAGACTCATCCTCTTGTAGTAATTCTATTCCCTTGATTGCCTTGATAATTTAAGAAAACAAATTTTATTAGTGTAAATAGACAAGATCGATTATTTTTTCTCGAATGAGGAAAAAAATTAAAATATTTACACCGTAATATACGATACGTTTACGTAGAATGATATTAAAGAACAATGGAATTTCACCCTGTAAACATTTGAGAATCTAACAATGGTTGATCCTCCTATGGTAATTCTGTCACCTCTGTATTGTAATTTACGACTGACATGATAGGAAAACAAACTTTATTTGTGGATAGTAACGACTAACTTTTAGTCGTAACGACTAACTTTTAATAGTAACGAGTAACTTTTTGTGGACAATTCGAAGGCTGAATTTTTTTCGTTCAAAACTATGTTTCTTTAATTTATTTGGAATTTATGATGTTACAGGATATAGGATGTGAAAAATGGGTTTGTGAAAATTGTTAGTTTGATTTGGAACGTAGGAGAAAAAAGTAAAGTGTAGATCACTAAAGATCTGAAGTATTTAATTTATCTTAATTTAATATAAGTTTTGTAATTTCTAGATAAATTTTGTGTTACGTTTAAACAATATAAAGATTGAGAGAGGATAAAATAAAGATGAGTATGAGATTAAACGTAAAATATAACGGAGAATAGTACGGTTCAGAATTAGCGGTAGTCTCGGTCTGTTAAAAGTTAAAACAACAGGTCGAATGAAAAACAAGCGTGAATAATACGGAGAAATTTACACCCACAAAAAGCCATTGAGACCTTACGTGATTCCAGATGGTTATAAACGTGCTGTTAGTGTTCGACAAATATAAAGGTATAAATATGGTTCCCAATTCATTTTATGCTTCGTTGAATAGGCGAAACAAACCATCGATTGATGGAAAATATAAGTAGGAAAATCGTCGAAATTGATTATAGTTTATTGAATTTTTTATCTTTGCGGGAGTATCGTGAAAAGCACTTCTGTTTGTAGTTTAATGAATAGAAAACTAACGGTGTTTCCGGTCTGGTAATGTCCAATTACGAGGATAAAGAAATAATAGTACGGATTGTGTACCATTCGATATGCTATCACTAATGTAACATAAATTAGTCATAGTATAAAAATAAATTAAAAACGTTGGTTAATGCCAACATTTCTTTACTTGATATTCTTGGAAAATAAAATTTAATTAAGTAATTTACTGAATTTACGAAACTAACGATTACAAAATGCTGGGAACGTTTCACTCGTTACATTCGATCTCGAAATTGTACGCGTTTTTCTACATAAAAAATTCACTTTCCAGTTTTGCAACACTCACTTTTCCTCTAGGTGAACCTGAATCTGATGAACAAATTTTTTACGCAAATCTTTTGTTACAATTCAAGCAATTCGAAAATGTTAGATCTCAATTCTACGTTTCTTGGTAGAAGATAGATACTATAACACATTGATGACTGATATTCATAACATCCAAGACAAACAGTTATGACTTATATTATACGTAGATAATCTTGGTACAAGGAGCTACGCACGCGATGATCGTTCGAAACACTCGACCCTGTATATGATAATTCAGAGAATTTACATGAACATTTCAAAGGAATTATATTTCAAAGCTTAAAAAGAGTCAAAGGTTTAAACAATTCTGAATTCTTGACAAGAATGACTAATCTCGCGATAATACGAAGCAAATTCTATTTCTTGACATGAAGTGCAGAGTCACGAGTTACACAAAAGCAAAAAGAAATTCAAACAACTCTTCTGTCATATTGTCAATATCAATTTCTCAATTTCATTATATGTACATATACTTATATGATCAGTGTTCAATTCTCGAGAAACAAATTACTTACTTCCATGAGTTCATTTATTAGAAGAAAATGGCACATACACACACAATAACACATTCGAAAGTAAATTTTCAAAGTAGTTACATTTGTAACGTCATCACCTTCTTTTGCTTTCTAGTCTATAAAGTTGATTAATGTAGCTTCTAAACGATCGAAATTATCGTGCAAGTGATAAACCAATGATTTGATAAAACAATTACATATAACGAAATCCCACGCACAATATAAACGTCTCACCTGTCTGAACGTCCGGATAACAAATAGCGGATCTCGGAAGCAAGTTTCACCCGGTGGATCTCACGGTGATTGGGATTCGAAACAAAAACGCGGTAGTAGCCGATCGACACAGACCTACGGGTTTCGCAACAGTAGAGCGTCAATTGAACAACTGTGGTCGCGATTCCGTTTCACGAGGTCCTCGGGCACATTGTTCGCGTAGTGCACGATTCACCGGCGTCGATGGATGTGCAGACGCACCAGAGCTCGCCTCCTACCCAGGTGCCTCCGCGTTTATCATACGACTGAGCCGTCTCTGCTCCGCGAACCTACGTCGGATAATACTGGATATGACGCCGGCCTATTGGTAGACGGTGTAGTCAGCGGTGGTCAGCAATTCGAACTAGACTAAATTAAAAACGGGATACGCGGCCAAAATGCGAGCTCAACGAAACGAAAGATCTTTTGTCAGCACCTCGCGAAATTCTGTAAACGAGACATCACCGACGACGCCACTCGTCTAGATAACAATGTCTCATTGAATGTCCACATTTTCGTATCCGTTTACTTTCGTTTCATTTTATCTACTAATACGTTTCATGTCACGCGAGACATTTCGTTTAAGCAATTTGTTTTGATATCTTGATTAGGAAAAAGAAAGAAAATTATATGTATTATTAAAATTATTCTTGCGCAATAATTTGCTGACTAATAATATCAATGAATTGACAAGTGAGAATTTTACGATATATAGAATAACCAAATAACTTATGATTTACTTGTAACATTTTACTTGTATTATCATCAAACTCTTCATGATGAGAAACAGGATATCATGCTTTATTTGCACTTCTATGAAAAAATTTCTCAAGACGAGGTTACACTATTTCAAGGAGCGCATATAACAATGGGACAAATTTTTCCTCAAATCGCTTTTTTACGAAGTTTCAAAGTCATCGATATTTTTTAGAATGGAACCCTATATTTTCTTATATAATTCATGAATGCACTTTCTCATTTTCTATGTAAAAGTATGAACACAATTTTGTGTCACAAAATCTACTAGAATGTAATGATCAAGAATTTGATGGAATTTTTTGCGCAATGGAGTTTAGCTGAGCGTTCAGGATTCGAATTGCAATCTTTGCTTAAAAAGAATATCCGAATGAATATCGTATGCCTCGCTCCATATCGTGCTGTCGAAACCATAAAATAAAATATCTAGGATTTTCGCTGTTATCATAGGAAAAACCAATCAAACTGACATATTTATGACTCTTCGGATTTCAATCAAATTATTTAAATTTCACAGTCTTTTTGGAGAATCTTTCAAACTTGAAGTTAAAATAAAATGATATAAATTATTTCTATGCTTTTATGAATCACAATCTACGACTGATGCGTAAATGCAAATTTATATTATCATTACATAATATCTATCAACTCCCACGTTACCATGATAATAATATAACGATTTTTTATATCTAACCTGCACATGTAAACGTACATTCTATATTCCTAGAAAATAATGGAAAATAAATAGAAAGGGAGAAATAGTTTGCTGAATATATGTCAATGAATATGTGAAATATAAAATTAATGATTGTTGTATAATGTGCGCATTATGAATCATAACTAGATAACGTTACCTTTAAAATGCAACCAAGTCTGGTCTCTGGAGCCTCGTCAACCGCTATGGGACATGCCGTAGTTTCCTGACATGTAACAATAGTTGTGGTTGGAGTGAAACATATATGCATGTAACACGGCGAACGACCGGTACTTTTCCTGCAAAAGTTTCAACTAGATTATCGATGACCAAAGTTCAAAGCTACATAGTTACATAGGGCCTGTCTGGGATGAAGGTATCGTTATTTTATTCACTCGATACTTTTGCGTTGTTCTCTCCTGGCGGATTCTGATTTACCAATTTCGCATCACCCTCCACGCTTTTTCTTGTGAAAACGCGATTCAGTTAGAGCGGTGTATATTAGCTGCTAATGATTGAAAAACAGTTCAAGAAGTTATGTTCCTTTTTCTAAGAATTCACACTATATTGTTTAAAGGATTTTCTACTAAGTGCATTCACAATCTTTTTCTGTTCCTCTTAAATGCGTTTTCTGAAAATCTTTCTAGGAATTCTAAGAATTTTGTAATACTAGTCCTAATATTATTTGTATAAAGATCACAGGTGGAAGACACGATAATCTAGTAACTCTGGTTTTTTACAATCATATTATACTCTTCATCAAAATCTGCAACTCTGGTTTTTTACAATCCTATTATACTCTTCATCAAAATATAATGTCGATATATGTCAAAACTCTACACGCACCTACTCTCCACATATATTCCTGGAATTGCTCTTTTAACATAAATATTTGTTCGTTCATATTGCATTCGTGGAGTGACGAATAACGAAAAATAAAACAGAAATAGAGGAAGTACGTCGCTTAAGTTGACACAGTTATGTTTCTCGTGATGATGGACAGCACACACTTTGACATTTAATGGATCTACCACCTATAATTCAAACTAGCTCGCGAAATATTTGTTGCCTGAAGGTTGAACTATTCCACCGATTCTATCGAAAAAGTAATTTTGTTCCCGATCGCTATCTAATGTGTAGCATACCGAAATAGATGTGCGTCTGTTAATAGAAAATATTCAAATTAACTACATTGAAAAGGTGATTCGTCAAGTTAGATAGCTTTGTAGGAAATCAGACTACTAAAAGCAGTCTGTTTTTCGACGAGTGATGGTCGTTTGATATTTTTCTAGCATTGACAAAATCGAAAATTACTATGAAATTGCTCGGTGTTTCTAGAGCGGAGAATTCTTATTCCTTAATCTAGACTTCGCGTGCTGTTCGTCTATGGTAAGGAAGAAACGATAGAAATCATAGTTTTGAGAAAATTAAGGACAATCCTTATATCGTGGACGATCCTAAGGTTTTGTAAGTTACCGGAAAGAGCTTGAATGATTTACGGTTGCGTGCAAGTATTGTATCGAATTGATTATCTATTCAACGGGTAAATTTTATGGTCGACAAGGATCTAAGCAGTTAGAAGTATTACGCTCCAGTTCGGAATATCTATTGTATGTGTTTAACGAACTGAGGATAAAAACGTGTCTAACATCTGAATATCTTGTAACGGTATCAAAAGACTATCAGAATTTCGAAATTAACTTGTATTTTAATTTTTATTAATAGATTCTTCTAACAGTTTTCTAATAATTTTCTACATTAATCTTCTTATATATCCTTGCAGAACATTTTTTTAAATCTCGAGATCACGTTGAATCTGTTTCAATGGGATGACGTGATTCTAGATCATTTTAAAATATGAATCTTGTGTCTTAAAACCGAGCCAACATAAAATGAATAAAAATAAGAATGTTATGCAAAACTTCAATTAAAACAATTTTAGCATATTCCATTTGCAATTTTATTTTCAATCAATTTACATTATCGATTTCTGTTTCCTAACATTGTAGCTACGAAAAGGAATTCCAAGCACTCGTTTATTATTTTTTTCATCTCTATCTATCTCTCCACCTATATTTTACGACTTTATGAAATGTAATGAATTTGAAATGTTTATAACATTATGGTAAGCTATATACATATATTGCTCGGTCTGTAATGGCTTAAATTCGTTTTCCACCCCAAATTTCTTTCTTTGAGCCAACCTATCGGCAAAAGCAATTATCAAAACTGCAGACCATCAAACCGGTGCGCTCAATTGTCTGTCTTCTATAATTCTATAACATGACTGGGAACAGGACGTTCGATTTATCAAAATTGTTGAAACGTGAGACTCGTGTCATCGCGATTTATCCCCGTGTGATGAACGTGCACACGTTCGACTATTGAGGGATGTTACTCGAGTTACTGAAACTGATCAAGCATGTCGAGAGGTGGCTGAGTAATTCAATTCCCCGTGACGAGCTGCAACGCAGTTCCAGCCACCGATTCGTCTCTCTTCGATGCCGGCTTTTCACGCTGTTACGCAATTCAACCTAGAATTAATCTTTTCCAAGGAAGCAGGATGCGGCGAAATGGATATCCAGCTACCGTGTGCACGTGTATTATACTCTATTCTGTTTGTGAGACTCGTCAATCTATGCCTCTAATTCTCATAGTCGTGATGTTGAAGTTTCTTCTGTGTTTCAACACGTGTGAGAGAGTTGAGTGAAAGTTTGTCGAATGGAAAGTGTTGTGCGAATTCTTGAAACTTTTCCTGTAAAAACATGCATATAATGTTAGATATAATTCAAGGTCGAGAATATCCTTGTTTTGGTAAATTGTGTCTTAGACAGAGGAATTTGTTAAAATTTCAGAAGTTAATTTCTATCAATAAATACATTTTCGAAGTTTCAGAGCTTGATATGTACATTGTAAGTAGACGAGACCAGTGTCGAAATCTACTTATTATAATAAATTTGCTCTTCGCGTCTTTCTCCTGGATTTAAAAAAATGAAGATGAAAAAGATGGAAAGTAAGTAATTCATAGATTATCTATAAAATATATCCCAGTTTTTATTACAGTCGAAACTGCTAAGTTCAAGTAATTCAAGGAATAGGCCAGTAGATAAAAGAACATTACTGTTTTCAAACTTCTATTTTTACTTCATCTCGTTAATTATAAATAGTTTAGGAAACTTATGATTCATACATGATTAACTTTTTCTTTATGTAAGTATTTTAACTAATGTTTTTACCGAGAACTTTATTTTAGATGAAAGGAATTTATTAACGTTGAATAAACAAATTCTTTGACATTTATTAACTTCACTATGGTAATTACTGCGATAAAACCAGTTATGAAAGTTTTTAATAAAGTTCGCACGAGGAACTAAAGAGTTCATCAGGAATGTATCTTTCAGAAGTTTAAAACGTTCGACGACCCTTAGCCTCTTATTTTTCGACGTCAGCAGACTCTCTTTTTATCTGACTAGCTATAGTCTCTGCTAGTTCTTTTACGAGCATCAAAGGCTCTAAATATAGACTGATGATGGATCATCGAAAATTTACATCACAGGAAAAGATCCACCATGTTTGCGTACCTTTTTATTCGCTACAATCAAACGGTTAAACTACCGTATAATTAATTCAGTGAATTTTATGCAGGATGTATTGAAGCGACAGGAAATCGAGGTAAGATAACCAACTTTATCGCTATAATAAACATTTATTCTCAATAATATAAAATTACATGTTCGCAATAACACGAGACACATATCATACAATATTTCACAACAGCAAGTATGCGTATGCGATGCGATATGACGGTTGCACACGACGACTATTATCGATCAAAGGGGT